TTTCTTTCTTATTTCACGAACTCCATTTCTGTAATGTATGTTTCTTAGTCTAATTTCATGATGAATGAGAAAAGGGCCGTAAGGCCTCAAACACCCAGTCCCATTACAACGAACGAACGAACAATTGTAACATTTTCAGGCTGTGAACAAATTTAACTTTAATTAAAGCTTGCTCATAATAAATTTTTGTGAATAAGTATGTAATGTAAATTAGTTGAAGACTAGCTAAGTGCCATATTGAAAATTATGACTTTAATAGGGAAACTTTCAACTCTTTGTAAACTTATTAACCTTTTGCAATTCAAGTGTGCTTCTAATTCTAAAACACCACTGACACCTTCAAATTGTTACCACTTTTAATAAATAAAGGAAAGGAAATGATTTACAGGTATGTACTAGCATAAGCTTATTCCATTATGACCTGAGAACACAGGACATCACAGATTCGACGAATCAGTTAGTGGAGCATTCGCGCCAAACACTGAGCTACCCAAAATATGCAGCATCCAGTGATTTACAGGTATTGTGATGAGAGTGTAAACAGTAAGTTATGTAACAAACAGTTTGGTTTCCCACTTTAATGACATTTTTCTTTTGGAGAATTTCAAGAAAGATTCCGCCATCAGACCACTGGCGGCAATCTTCTAAATAGGCATTTTAAACGTTTAAATAGATAGAATTTAAAAAAAAAAATGTGCTTTCATGTAACTCTTACTAAATCCCTTGATACTTCTGCGATTAGTTCTATCATTTTTTATTATGTAATATCAATGCTATCAATGATTTACTTCTAGAGCTGAAAGTTAAATTAGAAAAAAATTTTTTATTTTAGACCAAACAACTCTTCTCATCTTTTAAAGCTAACTAAGTTTTATTATATGAAATTAAATGCATACTTAACACGTTCACGCCGGGTGTTGCGCCTGAAAGCGGGACGGAAAAGAGAAAATACTGGTCGAAGAACTATTTCAGAGATACCAACTTGCTCCGGACAGGATGTGTATTTTAAAGTGGTAGTTTATCAATTGTGATTCTAGGTTTAATAAATTCAATTTAGTAAATTTTTATTCACCACTGTTTCTAAATAATTCGTAGACTTATATAATTCACCACTTTACAGTGCTTATGTCATGGTCATGCGGACTCCCGGAGCTGATGTCATGAGCTGGATGTTTTTGAACGAGATCGGTTCATACTTGATTCTGATGATCACAGATGAGGTCTGATACAGCGAGTTTCAGAGTTGATTCAGATCCTTGACGATTCCGGTCAGCCCATTTGATGTTCCTGACGAGGAAAAAATTTTGATNAATCTAGCGTAACCCACCGGTGGGTCACCCCGCCTTGAATGTGTTAACAAAAATTATAATTGTTCATTTATTTAAAATAGCTTTATCACATATAGTTCGTCTTTTTTTTACACATAATTATATCAGTTGGGATCATTTTTATAAACGCAAAATTTTGTTCAACAATCCGATTTTTTAAGACTCCAACAGAAGCTTCATTTCTGCACCAAGAAAATGATATTGAGAAAAATGAAAATCGATTGAGAAAAATCATGCACCTTAGATAACAATTTTGAGGTCAATGAAGGTATCCTCCAAGAACGACTAACCTCCATTAACCCCTTGGGGACGGGTGATTCAGAAAAGCTTTTGTACAAAATCAGAATCAAGTTGTAATTAAATAAAAAACGGTAACTTAAATGTAGTCGTTGCTAATTTAATAGACTTACTTTGCTTTTACTTTAATTATTGTTAGTTTAATCATATATATAATCAATGTTAATTCAAAGTATAACTAAATAGTTTTATTTTGAACAAAGTAATGGTGAATTAAAAAAATCAAACAATTATAACTCCTCTCACAAATGAACTGCTAAAGAAATACTTTGATTACCAGTTTTATCTTTTTACCCTGATTGATACGGTTTCATGCTGTCACGTATTTGTGACAGTCGTCGCGAAAGGGTTAACGTCCATTTTACTGTGGAACGGAGAGTGGTATCTCCCGAAAGGCAACACTGTGCATTAAACACACATTAGCGTTTCAAACCTATTCTCGGTCCCTTTTGCTTTACATGCTTTTCCGGGGCGCCCTGCAGTCCCTCAAAAATTATTACAGTGGTAAATAAATTTTGCCATAAAATGTATTTTAAAAACGCTATCATGAAGCTTTCCTGATCACCGCTATAATTTGATAACTAAAACACGTAGATGGAGTTATGTTATCAATGGAGTGAAAATTTATATTTGAATTTAATTTTAATAACTATTATGATAAATTAGCTACCACTATAATAATTTTGAGGAATCACAAGAAGCCCTGCTTTGTAATTATATTTTTATATGTAAAATATATTTTCGAAAACGAGTCGGTAAAAATCCTCAATTAATATCTCTCCAATAGTCACTTTTCCCCATACCATGAAATGCCTATAAGGGTTTGTTCATGTCAAGTTCTTAACCGGTTAACGCCCAGCGTCATATATTTAAGACAGTTCCTTTTTTCAAAGACATTCATTGTGGTGGGTAACTTCTTTCAGTATTTTCATTTGTCTGGGTGAATTAAAAGATTCTCAGATACCACAATGATTTAGTTACTTCAGATTAGATCTAGAATTATTAGGAGCAAGTACTTTTTGATCTATCAAAGACTTTTCGAATGCTCTAACTGTAGAAAGCCCAATTAATTTCGATAATCTATCATACCACTTTTTCCATAAAACCACTTTCTGTATCATTTCAATATATAAATTTGGGACAAAACGGGTTAAAGTTGTGACTTGGGGGGTGGGAGGGTACCAAGAAGTGTGACATCACGCATTTTGATTAAAATCTGCGGATTAAAAATTTATGTAATTAGTTTTTATATTTTTGTTCATATTTTTCATCAAAACAAGTACACACCTAACCATTATTGTTATGCTCTTAAGTCTTACTAAAGCACGTCGTTCGCACCTAAAACACTAAGTTTAAAAATAAAATTTGAAATTTAAACTATAACATGTGTTGCGTTTTTGAACTGTTAATATGTATTTATGTAACGTAACGTGACTTGTGACAAAGGAGCGTGACATGATTGTGAGCAGTGGCGTGCAGAGAAGTGGAGGGTGCAGGAGGCTAGGTCGCACGAACAAGGACACTGAAACTTTTAAAACTAATACTTTTTTAATGTAACTGTTCTTTTTTTTATTATTTAGTGAGTTTTTAAAACTTTAATAAATGTATTACTGAATTTGCGAATACTGAATTATTTTAATATTGTTCTATATCGCATTGAAAGTTCACCCATTAAGTACGCTATTTATTTATTTGCATAGTTTAATTTATTTGAATAGGATTCAGATTAGCAAAACACATACATATTATGCTCAGTTTCATTATATATACATTAGAGAATGTTGTTTTCCATTTTTTACTTTATACATTCTTGAGATTTAATTTGAACAATAAATTAAAACAATTTTTGAATAAGTTTGTTTTTCTTTTGATTCATAATTATTTAAAATTGCTTTCAAATATTTAATCTATGTGATGGGCATTAGATACAAGGTAGGCTTTGAATAAACAGTGAGAACAGTTAGAACTTTAAACATTAGTAACACCTAATTAAGTAACGTGTAATTTTTTGTCGAAATTTAATTAAAAATTGTAAGAAGTAAAGAATTAAATATTTAAATAAAAAAATATCTGGAATTTAAGAATTTTACTTTGCAATTAATTATTATCAATTATATGCAATTAATTAATATAAATTTTTTACAAAAAATTTATTTCGGTGTAAACATTAGTAACATCTAATTAAGTTACGTGTAATATTTTGTCGAAATTTAATGTCATTATTTAATTAAAAATTGTAAGCAGTAAAGAATGACACATTTAAATAAAAATTTATCTGGAATTTAAGAATTTTACTTTGCAATTAATTATTGTCAATTATAAGCAATTAATTAATATCTATTATTTGCAAAAAATTAGTTTAGGTGTGAACATTAGTAACACCTAATTAAGTTACGTGTAATATTTTGTCGAAATTTAATGTCATTATTTAATTAAAAATTGTAAGAAATAAGGAATAAAATATTTAAATAAAAATTTATCTGGAATTTAAGAATTTTATTTTGCAAAGAAAGAAGAAAAAATCTGCGGAGAAACTACAGTAATGAATAATTTTATTGTATTTTCTTTCGGTAATGTTAGATTTTCCATTATATGTAGTTCAGATTTAATAACATTGTTAAATTAAAAATTGAATATTTTCTAAATTTTATTTCGCAGACTTAAAAAAAAAAAAATTCTCAGGTTTAATAAAAAAAATTATGTCAATTAAACTAGCAAAAATTTCGAAATTATTGGCAATTTATAATTTAATGACCAACAAGGTTAATAAGATAAAGATAATTGTTGTTTCTTGAAAATTAAGAAGAAAAGGTAAAGGAAAAAAAAATCTTTGAATTCTTGATCAAACAAAATGGATCGAAAATTTCAATCCATTGATCAAAAATCTAACAAAACAAATAAATTACTATGAACTGAAAGAAAATTTATGAGCCATAAAATAAAAGCTACGAGTCTCTCAAAATGTTAATTTATGCCTTTATTTTACGCCTAAATTTTAATACTTTGATCGAGAATCTAACAAAATAAATAAATTACTATGATTGAAGAAAAATTTATAAGCTAAAAAATAAAAGCTTTGAAAATGTTATTTCATGTCTACACTGATGGCGCCATCTACTTGAAACAATGTTTATGACTCCATATCTTTATTCCTTTAAAGAAATATACTATTAATTCCAATCACTTTACTTTTAAACAGAATAAGAAATCCAAAAACAGCATTAAAAAACTTCATATTACATTAACCGAATTATTAATTCATATCAAAACCTTCACTTTTTTTGCAATGATTAGAAATTAGAATATTCCACACTGGCTTTTACAACAAGAGGGAAGCAGAAGCAAAAGATAGAACAGCCAAGCAAAAACTGTCAAAATGTAACCCCTCCGTCAATTCATTTGTAGCATAAGCAGCTTTGTGGCTGGCTGTGTTGTGTGGGATATATTGTGTGTTAGAAACATGAACATTTTCATAACCGGATTCAGTGTTGTGTTATTTTCTCTCATCATCAGCTCATCTCGTCAGTTCATTATCAAGAATATGTGTTAAAAATTCATCGCTTTTTCCTAGTTATTTCTTATTAAATCGGGAAGCATGGCTTCGGAGATGTATTTATCTGTGAATCTCAATAGATTTTTATGTGTGTCAATTATTTATTTATTTACTTATTTGAGATTCACGACTGCTTCTACTGTACTTAGTACTGTATCCGCCACATCTAAAGAATTAGCTTGTACAAATGTAAAATACGCATATTCATTGCGAGGGTTTAATAACCTGGAAGTCCCTATCCAAGCAATATCTGGTAAGTTGCTTACAGTTTTTATATAATTCTTAGATGATGCTTTCTTAATTATAAGTTCAGTTGTAACGTGTTTAAGTGAATATGAGTAATTTTAAGTGTAAATGGAGTACATAAGAAATATGAAAACTAAAATTGATAAAAAATGTTAATGAATTTTAAGTAGTAATGTAATGAAGTGTTGTAAATAATTCTTTATTATTAATATTGCTTCGGGTATAAGAAACTATGTTAAGAGTATTTTTAATTTAAGTTTGTTTTCATTAAAAATATTTTGGAATGATTAGGATTGCGTTTTGTGTAGTTTCATCCCAAAAGCCAAACAAAAGAAAGGATATTTTATATTTATTAATTTTTATGTTTGTAGAACTTTTATGTATCAAAAATGGGGGACATTAATTTTTCTCATTAAGCCCTTTTAACTAAAAATTCAATGATAAACATTTGAGAACTGACAAATTAGTTAAATATAAATTTTTTTGTCCCTTAGATCAGAATGAACGTAGCTTTCCGACAAATAGTTTTAAAATGATTATGTGTCGTCAGAATACGGTTTTAATAAACAACGCTTTTCTTTGAGTTATATTAAATGGCGAAAAATCAGTCATTTTTAATTAGCTTCAAATAATTAATCCTAACAATTCAATCAATAGTTAATTCTAATCAATCATAACATAAATTGATAAAAATGAAGATTTAAAGGACATAATTTTTTTTTAATCAGAATTATTTAATTGCTCATGATATGAATTACGACTTTTTGTAAATCCAGATTTATCTAATGAAACCAAAAAACTATAATTCGTTATATCAAAATTTTCATTTCTAAATAGTCCTAGAGAGGAACAATGAATTACTGTAAGTCCTTAACTCCATCCATGCGCCAAAAGATCACGTGTGTTGATAGATGCTATGATAATATGTTACATCTATGCTTAAATTAAATCGATATTTATTTAAATTGGCTATCACTTAAGTTTAAATATTTTTTCGCTAGTATAGTGTTATAGGTCTAAAGCATGTGTTTAGTAAGTGTATGATTTTAACATAGGATTAATAGATTCGATAAATTGGCTAAGGTGTTTCGCGCCAATATACTGAGATCCTCGCTTTTTCGAATTAGGTGCTTTAATAATTTTATAGTGAATGCAACATTTTTAAATCTTCATTGTAAATACAAGTAGAGAAATAATTGTGCTACCGGTTTGAAAGACAGAGAATTATAAATTAAAATAATTTTACTGTTTGAACCAGTATAAAATGTTTTTCTTTCTTTTTTTTTCCTCTACCGGAATGAAATATTTTTTAGTAAAAATGATACCTGTAAAATGTTTTATAAATGGTTACATTAATTAATAATCCTTGATTTAGTCAAAGAAGGCAAAAGTAGAACTGTTATTTATTTATTATTTCTAAGTTAATTTGGATAGCTGGGGGTGAATCGACTATTTTTCTCGTCTTATTAACTAAGTTACGACATGACTTCCATCTGCTGTTGATGTATTGCGTGCACTTCTATTGAAACAGCGTTGATGAGGGGTTATAAAAAATTTTTTACGTCTCACTTTGGCAACATTTAAAACAAAATGTAACTATTTTACTTGCAGAAAATATAAGGCAGTCTATCTAAAAGAAATAATAACAAAAATGTAATAACTACTCAGTGCCCTAAGCAGGATGATTAAAAAATAATTAATACCCAATTACCAATAAATTATAAAATATTTAGATATTCTGATGTCTTTGTCTCGAATTCCTGTCTTATCTGAGTTTGAAAACAATTTTAAAAATACATCGAATTCACGAGAATTATTATTATTTTAGCATAAAATCTTTCATGAACTGCTTGATAAATTTTTTTTGTAATCGAAAATGTTTTCAAAACTCTAATTATATAACTACTTTGTTATTGAGTTTACATCATTTTTGATTGCGATTGCACCAAAATTTAAGGAAACAATTAGTTTAATTTATTAATTAATTTCGTTACATCAAAAAATATTTGTGAGAAAATGCAATTTCTTGAGAATACAATTGCCTAATTGAGAAGATACAAATTACTTTTTCGATTTCCCATTTTAAATAGTGATTCTACTATTCCTATAAATAATTTTCGAATTTCTGACATAATGGGGCTTAGATTTAGGCTTCATTAAATAAGTACTGGTATAGACCACACCAGGGTTTTCCAGGGCCTCTTATCGCCACCAGACGAGTTAAAAGGAGAAAAGTGTGACAGTCTTCTTTGTGGTATTTTGTGCTTTGTACGGTGACAACTAAAATACAGGTTCAGTGCATATCGATTGATTTATGTTCATATTTCATTGTGTGCTGCTGATTGCAATGAGGAATAGAGACAGTGAACAAACTCTTGTTGGAAGAGGATTGATGGATCTGTATTTTATTTCCTGTGTTGTTATTCTACAGGACCACCATGAAATTAGACAGTTGACACCTTGGACAGCATGTGGCGCTGAGTTATCTGTTTTTAACCATTGTTGATACTCCCTATAGAAATCTTACTGATTATTCTGTGCGATTTTTAAAGCACTTTCTCCTGATTGAAGAAAAAAAAAGAAAACAGTTTGAGTGCCTTAAATCCGGCTGATTTTAATCTATATTGTATGCTTTTTTACCATAGAGAATTATCTTAACTTTGGAACAGGCCAAAGCTTAGTTATTTAAAAATTCTCCAATTTGGAGAATTTCTTTTCACCTAATTAAAATAAATAATTTTCAATTTTTGCATATTTTCTGAGTCCAACCAATGTAGCTTTGGGGCAACTTTCCTCCTTCTTTCAGCACTACAGCCGTTTTCCAACTTTGCTTGTTTCAAAGCACCTTAGTCCATGCCGATCTATCCGACGCCTATACTCGCCATCAGTTTACTACTACGAAGCAGAGCAACTGAGTAATTTGTAAGCATTGAAAAATTAGACCATTTTCGAAAAACTGAGACTTTTAATAAAGAAATTTTGCACCATTTTCAAAATTACATTATAACGATGGCGAATAAATGCCACAAACTCACATCGGTTAGAAATATAGCATATTACTTGCTAAAAATCATTATTTCATACACGAGAGGGACAAACTCACATCAGTTATAAATACAGCATATTATTCACTTAAAATCGTTATTTCATACACGAGAGTGACAAACTAACTTCAGTTAGAAATATAGCATATTATTCGCGAAAATTCTATATTTCATACACGAGAAGAACAAACTCACATCTGTTAAAAATATAGCATATTATTCGCTAAAAATCGTTATTTCATAAACGAGAGTGACACTAAAAATCTTATTTCATACACGAGAGTGACAAACTCACATCAGTTATAAATATAGCATATTATTCGATAAAAATCATAATTTCATACACAAGAGTGCCGTCAAAGATATAATATTGAAAATATAGTTACTAAAATAAAAGCAACTGTGGAATTTAAGAGAATTCACTCAAGATAGTTAAGGATTAATCGATTTTATTTGAAATATCATCGTTTAATTTTGTGTTAATTATGAACAACTCAACTCAAGACAGTGAAGATAACTTACATTATTTATTTACTTTATTGGAACTAAGTTTTTCTAAATTCTTTTACGCACATTTTGCTTAATTATTCAAATAATCATTAGATAGTTAAGAGATCTGTATGGTTTAGAAGAACGATAACAAGTTACGAAGTATAGAGAAAATACACGGAGCATAATTCCTTCAATATTTTATTCGTAATTATCATTTCGGTTATGCTATCTTACGGTTTGGGGCGAAGTGATTACATTTTATCCTTGCATAATGATAAAAGGAAACAACATTTTTCTTTTGAAGAAAAATGGGAAAAACTACTTTTTCTTTCTTTTTTAAATCTACATCTCGTTAGTTCTGAATTAATAGTTTAATATTTTTTGAAAAGTCTTTTCTAGTTGAAAGCGCATCTAATTATTTTACCTTATCTTGGGAGAATTAGGAAAACTTTGGGTTCATGCTGTTCGCTGATAAGAAGAGGTAATTTAGCTTCTTTGTTTATTTACGAAAAAGAACAGATTTTTTAAAAATATTCTAGCTCAATTACAGTTGATTATCGATGTTTTTTACTCTTTCTAAACCTGATACTTTAATGGCCTTCTAGATTAAAGAGTTTTTTTTTTTTTGCAGAAAAAGCGATTTGACTTTCTTAGTTATGTAACCGATTAGACACGTTTCGTTTTATTAATTCATTCGTTTTATTATTTTTGTAAGATTTATTAAAAAAAATTTCCGTGTTCTAAGTTGCAATGGATACGGTTTATAACTTAGATGGGTTGATTAATCTCTGCAGACGATTATTTAACTTAAGGAATCCAAAAGTGTGATAATTTTTGACTTAAATAACAATTAAGTGAGTTGCAATAAGTAAAACATTGAAAAAATAATAATTTAAAAAAATAACTGATTTAATAATAAATAATTTAATAATAATATATAATAAATAATTTAAAAATTAAACTTTCGTTTTAACTATTTTCTAATATTTTTTTATAGATTTTTAAATTTTATTAACGTTTCAATTTTTTCATTCAATTTGAAACTTAAATATTCTATCCCTATTTTGTCTAACATGTTTTGTTTTTGCTAAATGCGTTGATAATTTAAATTGTTATTATTGATTAAATAAATGTTTAATTTATAAATTTTTATTATTAGTTTTTATACTTAAATTTCTATTTAATTTTTGATTCTTGTTAACTAGGCTTGTTTTGGTGCAGCTTTTCTGTTTTTAAAATTATGAATCTCTTTTTTAAAATGCTCTGTGTTGTATTTATAAGAGCTATAGCCAAAAATGTTGACCTCAGTGTGACGTATCTTTAGTCAAACGTAAGGAAGATAAGAGCGTCCTTCTTTGTTCCATCCCGGAGAAAATTTTGTTCATATCGTGCAAATATAAAGTAGTTGCTAATGGAAGAAAATATTCATTTGATTCAATTTTAAATGTTTTAACACTCTTTGAATATAGGA